TTTGTTTGTTTGTTTGTTTGCTTGTTTTTAATGAGGGTTCACATAAAAATCATAAACTCCCTCTATAAAATGCAAAATGGATGTATATGTGTCCTGCCATAGCTGAGTAGTTCTTGGTCAGCATGCTCTAGGGGTTTCTAGTACTCTCCTGGCAGTTAACTGGCCTTGAACCTTAAGACCCTCCGGCCCTCAAACTCAGTGTATTGTCACAGTGGGGTCTAAGACCTGGCATTATGCCTCGCACACAGCAGATGGTGGTCCAGAGAAACTGGGTGAGTCCATTCAGAAATTTGGGGGCTGGTAAGTGAGGAGGGAGTGAAGCTGTCTGCCTCCCTGAGGGTCTTCCTGCTCCAACTGGAGGCTTCAGGGAAGTCTCTCCTTGTCACAGTGTATGGATTCTTCAGACTGGGCCACTATCCTGGCCGTGCTCTGGCTGCATTCCAATGGCAAGGACTTCAGGTGTGAGTGGGAGCTTCTGGAAAGGAAGGCTGTGGCCTGGATTTGCACCCATGCAGGTAGGAGCAAAGTCCTGAGACCCATTTCCTTCCAGGCACTGAGCCTCCATGCCAGAGGAGGGTCACACGAGACAGTCCCATGGTCACCCCCTACATCCTGACTCAGACCTTTGGTGACCTCCCAACTGGTTCTTCCTTTGGCACGATGAGAGTGAAATCTTCAGTTGGGGTGGGAGATATGGATAAGGAAGGAAGGAGACGTGGAGGAGGACCGTGAACAGCAAGAGCAACACAGTGGAATTTATTCACCTCACTTTCTGCACCCAGCTGGGTCTGAGACTGGTCTTGGAGCATTTTCTTCTTGGATGTTTGTTATCCCACTGCAGCTGAGTTTCTAGAACAGTGGACATTAAGGGAAAGGCTGGGCACCTAGCAACATCAGGAGTCCCGAGGAAAGGTCTCAGGGGAGATGACAGAGAAGTTTAGGGGACACTGGGAGGAGAACGTTCCTTCTTGGTACAACACCTCGGCCCTCTGTCTGGTCTCTCCTCATCACAGGTGCTGCCATGCCTGGGCTCGTGAAAGCTGCTGATGCTTTCCTGAAGTCATCCATGGATCTGGCCATCTTTTCACTCTGAAGATCCCACCAGAAGAGAAGTTCCTTACCTTGCCTATGCCACTTCCTTTTCTGCCCTTCTGCTGAGATGGTTTTCCATGTTTTAGATCGTTCCTATCAGTTCCTTGTTAAAAAAATAATAAAGGATGCTTACCCCCCTTGCCTGTCTTGTTGTAGCTTCCCTTTGGGTGTAACTGTCCTTTCCCTGGCATGTCCCCGCAGACAAGTCACAGTAGCCCCAGAATCTGCCCCCTTTAATAGAGGAATCTAAAGCATCCCTATGCAGTAACGCTCCTCCCAGGCCTTCCAGAGTGACACCAGGAAGAACAAGGGACATAGACTCCAGGCCGAAGAATTGACGTTAAATTTAGATTTTTTAGGGATTTTTTGTGGGTGAGTTGTTTAAAAAGAATAAAGTTGGAGGCATCACATTACATGAATTGAAAATATATTACAAAGGCATAGTAACCAAAATAGCATGGTGGTAGCACAAAAACAGACACAGAGACTAATGGAGCAGAAAGGAGAATCTGGAAATAAGCCCAACACACAGTCAACTGATTTTCTGCCATGATCCCAAGGCAATCCAGTGGAGAAAAGACAGTCCTTCCAATGAATGGTAATATGAAAACTGGTTATCTACCTGCAGAACAATGAAACTAGACCTCTGTCCCTCACCATTTACAAAAATCTGCTCAGAGAGGATTAAAGGCTTAAATTTAAAGCCCCAAAACCATAAAAGAACTTGAGGAAAGTATTGGATCCTCAGAAAGCATGATGTATTTTTCTGTTTTTCTATGCAAAATTGAATCAACCCAATACAGGGCAAACACTAAGATATCGGAATAAGCAAAGATTTTGTAAGACTTCTAAAGCATGAGCAACATCACCAAAAATAGATAAATAGGATTACTTCAAGCTAAAAAAGTTTCTGGAAAGCAAAGGAAGTAACAAATAAAGAGAAAAACTACACAATACAAAAAAAATATGTGCAAGCTATGTGTATTGAGTTGTCAGAAAAGTCGTGATGTATTTTTCCTGTGCTTCTCTATGCAAAAATATATCATGACTTTTCCAATAACTTAAGTATATGATATGTATATATATGTGTGTGTGTATGTGTGTGTATGTGTGTATATATATATATAATATATATATTAGTTTTGCCACAGAGTGCATGCACTCACTAGAGAGAGACAGAGAGAGAAAGTAAGGAAATATCCCCCTCCCTCTGGGAGAATGACCTTGCCTCAATTTCTTCTAGTCTTCTCCGCATTTGGGCACATAAGCACAGAAGTCTGGCATGTTTTTGAAGCTGCTGGGTCTAAGACTCACAGCGTGCAGTTGGCCATGTGAGATCCAGTTACCTTAACCTCCATGCCATCTGACTGGTCATGAGCTATATTCTAGTAAGAGATTAATAACCAGGGTATATAAGTAACTGAGCTCATTATTTTTCCATTTTTCAATTGGTATGAAGTTGTAGGCTTTTGAAAAAATATATATTTAACATATACATACAATAAGATATTATTCAGCCTTATAAAAGGAGTAAATCTTGGAGCCAGTCAGTGGGGTGGTGATTAAGGCCACTGAGTCTCACATGGCCAACGATGCAGTTCAAGTGTTGGACCCAATGGCTTGACAAACATGCCAGATACATGTGCATATGTGCCCAATATCCCAAGAGGAGAATGGAGAGGAGGGATTGTAGTGTGGCTATGTCCTCTTGGGAGTGACTTCTCACCTTCCCTGTCTCTCACTTTCTACTCCCTCCCCACCCGCAGTGAGTGCATGCACACTATAACAAAACTTTAAAGGAATCCTGCCATCTGTGACAAGACAAGTGAAGTTCACAGATATGCCAAGTGAAATAAGCTGGACACAGAAATTGCATACTACATGAAACCACTTCCACGATCAACCTAAAATAAGAAACACATAAAACAGTGGAGTGGTGATTAGCAGGGACTGGGGTAAGGGGAGACAGGGAGTCAAGGGCACAAAGTCTGGGTTGTACGTGATGAATAAGTCCTAGAGCTCGACTGTACAGTATAGTGCCTACACCTAAAAATGCTGCTTTGTATGTACTTAAAATTTTGCTAAGAGGATAGATCTCATGTTGTGTTCTTATTAGGAAATGTAAGTAAGTGAGGGAGGAGGGAACTCTTAGAGGTCCTGCATAAATTTATGACATCGTTTGTGGTGATGGGTTAATGGGCATACACTTACCTCCTAACT